ACATTGCCTGTGGGGAAAGAAAGAGTATATTAATTTTTGTGAAGACTAAGGGTTTGGTTTGAGACAGAAGGTGAAGTTAGTCTAAAAAACAAATTGTGGGACAAATTCCACTGACGAAAATATGACAGTTATGTGCTTGGGAACAGAAGGATATGTGTGAATGAGTTTGACCACCAGATGGGAGGCTCTGCACACTTGGCCTAGGCAGATTCACTTCTGCACCCCATATAATCTCTTACTTGTTTTCTCTCCATTCCATTTCAACCCCCATTTTGGGGAAATTTAGTATGGAATATATATATATATATATGGTGAGGAAGTTATGAGTGGGAGAGCAGATGTTGATACCCAAGTGTATACTTGCTAGGATTTAATTTCTGGTTGTCTTAGGGAATTAGGATTACAATAAGCCTGGGCAAACTTTAGCTGAGTTGTTACAGAATGAATGTGCAAATTCTGTAAATCAGAAACAAAGATATCCCTTAATCTCTGAGACTGAGACATGAGGGCCTTCAACCTCCAACAAGCAAATGATTTTTTAAGGATGTGAAGCACCTATGTAGTGTCAGTCCAATGTCTTAACTAGAGGAGGTCTGTGGGCTTGGCTTACCTGCTGAGCCTTAAGGAATGATGCATCTCAGTCAACCCGTTAGCTATTTCTTCCAGCTGGTGCCTTTTGCCACCAACTAAACTTACACACAAACTTGTCTCTGCAATTCCATTCTAGTGGAAGAAAAGGAAAGGAAAAGAAAAGGCTATTTTATGCTGTGGAATTTCAGGACTTAACGGTTAGCGACTCTCTCTTTTTACAGATGAACAAATTTAGGCCTGGAGAGGAAAGTGAAGTCAATCATTAAAAACATAATTATTGAGGGTCTACCATGAGGCAGGCACTGTGATTCAAGGTGACTAAGATGGGCTCTGCCCTCCTATTGATTACACACAAGTAGGAAACACTGACAAGTAAACAGGTCATTGTTTGCCCAAGACCACATAGATAACGGCTTGGAAATGGCACCAATGAAACCTGGCAACAGGTAAATCTTTATTTGATGATATCCTTGTGGACAGATCAGCTTTGTGACTTTTGTTTGCTTTGACACTTATATTTAGTAAATTGTCCTTGATCTTAATATCTAAAGCATAGAGTGTTTGGACAGAGACTCTAGGCAGACCCGCAGGCTCACACTGCTTTCTGTGAGCAGCAGTATCCCCACAATCTGTATAATACTGGCACTTCCTACAAGGACCCACGGTCTCTTCCTACCCTGGAATGGTTGGGAACATTCCTATACACCACTGCCACCTAGTGACTCTTTTGGGTACTACCAGCTCTGGTTTTACTTCCTGATTTTTTTTTTTAACTCTGGGACTCTGACGCTGCCAGAGAGCTGTGACTGTGTGACCTCTAAGGTCCCTTCTACCTTGAGATCCTGTGATTCTACAATTACCTTTGACTTTAGAAGGCATTTTTTGTCCATTGCTGAGCAAGAAACTTAGTTGATTTCAAATCAATAAAACTTTGATGAGGTCTCCCAAAAAACTAAAAAAGGAAAGCACACCCAGGAGACTGAAAAGCACAATATAATTTTTTAAAATTTTATTTATTTATTTGGCAGAGAGAGGGAACACAAGCAGGGGGAGTGGGGGAGGGAGCAGCAGGCTTCCCCCTGAGCGGTGAGCCCGATGTGGGGCTTGATCCCAGGACCCTGGGATCATGACCTGAGCCAAAGACAGATGCTTAATGCTTAACGACTGAGCCACCCAGGTGCCCTAAAAAGCACAATATAAATGTAAAGAGCTTGGCAAGTGGGTAGCGGAGCAGCACTGTGTAGGAATACCTGTTATTCTTTTAGGGGTGGCTCTCCCCTCTGCAGTTATGTACCATTTTCTTGCTAAACTCCCAAGAACGCAATTTCACTTGATTCTATTACAAATGATACTCTAAGTGCTTAATGGAAACCTTTTCAGCTGCTATTTATTTATTTATTTTTATTTATTTCACAGAGAGGTAGCGAGAGCAGGAACACAAGCAGGGGGGGTGGGAGAGGGAGAAGCAGGCTTCCCGCCGAGCAGGGAGCCCAATGTGGGGCTCAATCCCAGGACCCTGGGATCATGACCTGAGCCAAAGGCAGACGCTTAACGACTGAGCCACCCAGGCGCCCCTCAGCTGCTACTTATATCAGTATTGTGGAATAGTCAAAGATTTCTTAGCAGTGCACCAAATCTGTTTATAGTTATTATGAAACAGATAAGGTGGATCAATGGCAAATGTTGATGAGAAAGAGAGGTCACTTTGCTTACTCTTGTCTTGTCTTTCCATGTAACCAGCAAAACGCCAGATTCCCTTGTTTTTCTGGATTCACAGTCATACCCCCAGGGCTGTTTAGCAACACTACAGGCTTAGTGTTTTGTTATAGTCTGTATTTGTTTAATTCAACACACTAGGACCTATGGCCTCTGTGAAGGCTACAAAATTATTTGATATGAAAATCATGTTTATGACTTACACACAAGAAAGCACAAAATAAAAATTAATAATTTAACGTCTTTGAAAATGTACCATTTATTTTTAAATTTAGTATTCATAGGAATTACATTACATTTAAGGATAATTTGAAGGTCAAATTTTTCTCCCATTGCAAGAATTTCTCAGTATGTGTGGGGATGATTGCCAAAAAACACCCAACCCAGTCATGAATTAAATGAAGTACTCACAAACAATATGAGAAACAAAATTATAAAAATCAGTTCCTTTTTTTTTTTAATTTTTGAGAGGGAGAGAGGTGGGTAGGGGCAGAGGGAGAGACTCTTAAGCAGACTCCACACTTTGGGTGCCTGGGTGGCTCAGATGGTTAAGTGTCTGCCTTTGGCTCAGGTCATGATCCCAGGGTCCTGGGATCGAGTCCCGCATCAGGCTCCCTGCTCCTTGGGAGCCTGCTTCTCCCTCTGCTTCTCTCTCTCTCTCTCTCCCCTCTTCTCTCTCATGAATAAATAAATAAATAAATAAAAAGAGCAGACTCCACACTTTGGGTAGAGCTGAGGCAACATGGGGACTCAGTCTCACAACCCTGAGATCATGACCTAAGCCAAAATCAAGGGTCTGACACTTAACTCACTGAGCCACCCAGGCATCCCATAACATCAGTTTCAAATTTACGGTGAAAATCATTTTTATTGTTGGATATGGGGGTATTCACATATATTTGATATAATGTGTAGGACTATGGTGATATTCATCATTCCAATTTTAGTATATGTGCTGCCAAAGCGAGCATGGACTATAGTGGTTTTTAAAGGCTCTGAATATTCTTTACAATTTTCTCCAAAGAACTAAAGGTAGAATCAGAAACTACCTGCTGCAAACATCAAGTAGCTCTCAATTCTCAAATCTTCAGATTTCATAAGAAATACAATCTTAAAAGTTCATTAAAAATTGTTCTCTGTTTTGTTATCTATATTTGTTTAATTCTATTTTTAATTATCTATCACTGAGTTAAAATCATGTTCTGGGAAGAAGTACCATGTCTACCCTGTGGGTGTGCGTTTTGAGTGTCTGACACACCACCCCTGGGATGTGTGAGTTCTAGAGTTTGAGATTGACAGCTCTTTCTTGAGAGATAAAGGCAGCAATCCTCTTCTTCTTTGAGAAAAATTTGAGAAATTATTGCAGCAAATTGTAAGGTCTTTGACTTGATGAAAAGATCTAAGGAGGGGGACCAGGCTGGCTCAGTGGGTAGAGCGTGTGACTCTTGATCTCAGGGTTGTGAGTTTGAGCCCCATGTGTGGCATAGAGTTACTTAAAAAAAAAAAGCCTTAAGGAGTTGTTTTGGGGTTTGTTTTTGTTTTTATCACATTGTAACATCATTTGCCTATGGTGTAACAGTCTAGTACATGTGCGGGGGGGGGGAAATTAGACAATATTCTTCGAGAATAATCCAAAGTGTTTCCAGTGCAAGAAGCACCTAGGAAAAAGCTTTTATTCTTTCTCCAGTCCTCCGTAAGAGTTGACCCCAGACGGACCCACCCCCAGATGGACCCACTTCCAAGCATTACATGGGTTCTTTCATGTTCCTCCCTTGTCTTTCTAAATGGTACATCATAATTCCACCTTTGGCCATGAAACTCTTACTTCTTGGGGAACTAGGTCTGTCTCCCTTCACCTGAAGATCAAACTGCTCTCAAATGCTCTCCTCACAGCCAGCCAACTGACTGACTTAAGTACCTGGAATCCTGTCTTCAACAGTCCTCTGATTGACCCTTCCCTGGGCTCAGGGTTCCCTAAAAGTCCCCCTTCTTCATAGCTCTCACCTCCTATCTTACTGTATCATCTCAGGAAATTGGAGCTCCCAACCCTTCTCCATGGATGCTGCATTCTCTTTGAGGGAGGCATTTGGTGTGTCTTGATGGTCTTTGCATTCCAGGACCTAGCACAGTGGTCTGATAACCTGCAGGGACGTGTGTAAAGTTTGTTATTATAGTAATTGATAAATGAATTACAGAGTGTGGATGGATTTTGTAATGATATGACTGACCGCAGGGCAGATAAATACTCAGCATTTCCGAGGGATAGGAAAGAATGGTTGGGTCAGGAAGTTGTGTTCAGAAAACTTTTTTTTTTAAGATTTATTTATTTGTCAGAGAGAGAGAAAGAGGGAGATAGAGCATGAGCAGGGGGAGCGGCAGGCAGAGGGAGAGGGAGACGCAGGTTCCTCGCTGAGCAGGGAGCCCAACGCAGGACCCTGGGATCATAACCTGAGCCGAAGGCAGACCCTTAACCAACTGAGCCACCCAGGCGCCCCTCAGGAAACTTTTAAATAGACTTTCCAAAGAAAGGGATTGACAAAAAGTTTGGGATTAATGAGGAAGGGAAAAGAAAAGATGTAATTAGCTGACTGAAGATAACTGATTCGTGTCAGAGAGGAAAGTCCCTGTCCCTTTAGCCTGATTGGGCAATGCTGTTCTTGTGCCCCTACCACACCTCCTTTTGCCCTTGGCAGGAGTCTTTGCTGGAAGAGATGGTGATGGGCCAGGGTCCCCTGTTGTTGATCTTCATGCTGGGTCTGGGTCTAACCCCACCAGCCCTGACTCAGGATGACTCCAGGTACAAACACTTCCTGACCCAGCACTATGATGCCAAACCAAGGGGCCGGAATGCCAGATACTGTGAAAGCATGATGGAGAGACGAGGCCTGACCGCACCCTGCAAAGACACCAACACCTTTATTCATGGCAACAAGGGCAGCATCAAGGCTATCTGTGGAAATGAAAATGGAAACCCTTACGGAGAAGCTTTAAGACTAAGCAAGTCTCCTTTCCAGATCACCACCTGCAGGCATGTAGGAGGGTCCCCTCGGCCTCCATGCCGGTACAGAGCTACCTCAGGGTTCAGACACATTGTTGTTGCCTGTGAACACGGCTTGCCTGTCCATTTTGATGAGTCCTTTTTCCGTCCATAATCGGAAGCCACAGCTGGCTTTTCTCTCCTTTTCTTGCATTTCCCTCCACATCCCAGAATGGCAACATTTATGGCCAGGGGCCCAGAGAATGAGCTGCCTGGATCTCTTGTTTTCCATTTTACAACATGTCTAATAAATAAAAGTGTCTCTGAAATCAGTAAGAATCACAGTCTTCCCACTAATTATTGGCCTATTAATCTTACCCCATTTTCTCTCTTCAACTGCTTCCTGAGAGGATTGGGTAGAATAGAAATGCGCTTTTCCTTATCGGTCAGTTCCTTATCAGTCAGTAAGGAGGTGGACTTTAGCTTTCTATAAAGGTAGGGTGGTTAGATTCATCTTACAGAGAGAATTAGGAAAATTCCAGGGCTCATGGCAACTAAACAGAATTTTCAGAAGGGGCAAATAATAAGGGAATATTACTTTTACAAATGTTAAACCTTGAGGAGAACAGTTTAGGACTAAATACCAACAGATTCATTCCACTTTCTCTCTTTCACACACATGTGCGTGAATGCCAACGGGCAGCCACCTCTCGTCTTAAGCAGGAGGTAATTTTTTGATGTTGCTTTGAATGCAATGTTCCTAGGGTATTCTCATGGCAATTTTATATAAGGATCAAAAAGTGATTATTTTATTATTTACTTATTTATTCATTGTTACATTATTTTCTCCTTAATCTTTTACTTTATCGACCAATGTCTGGCTACTTTGAGATCTTAGGGAAGTCATAGAAAGATTCCAAACATTATCCCTTATTCTTCTTCAACTAGATTTGGTTTTCAAGTAAACATACACTTAGGTTGATGATACTCTCTTTGTAAAATATACTAATCGATCCACAGGTTAAGTGATTAGCTTCCTATTAACCTAATTTCTATCAACTGGTGCCTCAATATTTTATTTGGAAAGTAGTTAATAAGTTACAGTTATAAGTCACAGTTTTGCTATCTTGTGACTATGTAACTATTATGGTTACAGTATTCCCAACGGTGGTCTCCCCTGCTCCCCACATTGCCCTGATATGGGCCCAAAACCCTAGTTGCTCAATACTCAGGTTATAGACCAGTATCTAGGTTCCACCCAGGAGAGCCCGGCCTTGCTGAAAATATTCAGATTTGGGGAAGAAGTGATGGAGGAGTAGGTTACTGGTGTACACTCAGCTCATGAATCTGTGCACTTTGAGTTATCTATTTCAAAATTGAAAACACTGTCTGTAGTTAGGGAGAAGAGTTTTCCAAACCTCTCTTATTAGAAAATTTGCTTATTATAAAATCTCAAAAACCCCTTAAGGAGTAAGAAAATTCCAGTTTTTGGTAGACTATTTGGACCCTTTCTCAGGTTCTCCAACCAGTACTATGTCCCTGATATGAAGCAAAGTGACTTCCATACAGATCATTGCCCCACTCAAGCTCTTGATAGAGAAGGTCAAAGGTCTGGACCGTTATTACACTGATCACACCATATTTATGAAAACTGATGTCTTCTCCAAACATCTGCTTAGAGCATAAATCATTGCATACTCTGCTCTAGTGTTAAGGCAAATGACCGTTTCCTGGGAAATCGCATGGCAGTGGGATGGGGGTGCTTCCTGTCCTGCTGATGGAGCCAATCCTAGTACTTTTTGCTCTGGGTCTCTTGTTCGCTCACCGTCAAAAGCTGTTTAGAATGAAATATCAAGTCACAGGCAGGTCATTTTATCTCGAGTGAATCATTTGAGGAATTGAAGTGCTGGTCGGCTATACTTTATTGACTTTGCAAGGAAAAGAGAAGAAAAACCTCAAAAATGTCAAGTCCTTCGAGGAATGGTGACATTCAAGGAAGAAAATTCCATGCAACTTGGAGAGAACAAATTTCTCTAGAGACACAGCAGAAATTCTAGTAGGCTTTTTAAAAAAAGCCTTATATGGGGCACCTGGGTGGCTCAGTTGGTTAAACATCTGCCTTTGGCTCAGGTCATGATCCCAGGGTCCTGGGAAGGATCGAGCCCCGCATTGGGCTCTCTGCTTGGCGGGGAGCCTGCTTCTCCCTCTCCCTGTAGCTCCCCCTGCTTGTGCTCGCTCTCTTGCTCTCTGTCAACTAAGTAAATAAAATCTTTTTTAAAAGGCTTATAGTTTCTTGGGAATATAAGTACTCTACAAAATAAGGGGGAGGGGATCCAAAATATATGCAATTTGCTACAGTCATTCACTATTTTTATCAGACTGAAGGAAGGAAAGGAAACCAAGAAGAATGGAAATTGTGAAAAGATCATTGCCAGCACTTAACTAAACACTTATCAGGGGCTAGGCATTGTGATAAGCACTTTACATTGATTTTATCATTTATTCTTCCTAACATCTCTAAGAGGTAGGGATTGTGATTATGCTCATTTTACTTATGAGAAAATATGCCGAGAGCTTAAGTAATTTCCCCAAGGTCACACAGTTAATGTGGCAAAGCTAGGTCTTTAGGATCACAATATCCAAATTAGTTCTTTTTGAGAGTCAATCTGGTGCAACAGAAAAAGCCTTTGGGACAAGCTCTGACCAAAAAGTATGTGTTGGGATGATTTGGGGATCATTTGATTTTCTGTTGTACCTAGAGCCTTGAGATGTACCCATTGATGTTTACATCGGATTTCTGGTGGCAAATATTTTCCCCTGTCTTGTTAAATCAATCAGTTGGTGTGGCTGAGGCCATGGGTTTGCTCTTGCATGAATAGTTACGTCTTCTCTGTAGCCAGTTATTTTGCTAAGCCATGATCTCAGTCACAAAGAAGCAGGATGAGAAAAAGTAGACAGAACTGTGCAAGATGAGAGGTACAAGATTAGATTTGGGGAAAACAACGCAGAGTACACCACTGTGAGGAAACCATTACCCGAGGGCTAAGTGCACCTTCAGAAGTTATATGCATTGGTGCTGGGCTGAGGAGTAAATTGAACATCATTTCTCCCTGCCCCCTTCCTCTTGCAGCTCCTTCATTCCCTCTCTTCTTGACTCCATTTCTCATATCAGCTACAGGCACAAGCAATGACCTAGAACTTTACAACTTTCTGTGTAGAGGCAGAAGGCAGCTGTGAACCTAGGAGGCGGCATGGAAAAGAGAGATGGTTCTGTTTCATCCTGGTCATTACGACTAACCAAAGTGTAGGCTTAGGTGGAACAGACTGCAAGTCCCTCATCAGCCATTTCAGTCCCTTACACGTGTGATCCGGCACCATGAAGCCGCTTCTCTGAAAATGAAGGACAGTAGTACTCAGAGATATCATCCCAGGAATTCAGCTGAGGCTGGACATGGACTGCATGTGTAGAAATGGGCCTGTCTGACTCAAAAAGTTGCCCTGGCTACTTTGGGTTGCTCACTCCCTGTTGAATTGAGATGATTTTTTTTTTTTTTTTTT